CCGAAGTCCCGCTCGCTGAGCGCCCCCACCCCGGTGCGGCCGCCGCGCGGAGGGGACAGGGAGACGTGTGTCTGAGCGGGTTTCCGGGTGGGAAAGGCCGCGGTGGGGACCGCGCAGGGAAGGCTGCGAGGGCCGGCGGGGAGCTGCCAAGCCGGTGCCCCCTCGGCCTGATCCGATCCCTGTGCTCTCCGCGGTCCCAGGCCCAGCAGCCATGGCGGTGGAAGGAGGAATGAAGTGTGTCAAGTTCTTGCTCTACGTTCTTCTGCTGGCCTTCTGCGTGAGTAGTGGGGGTAGAGGGACGGGGTGCCGTGAGTCTTGGAGCGGGAGCCATGGGGGGGGGGGTGAGGGACCCAGGAATGAAGGCAGCTGGAGGCCAGATGTGGAAGGAAAGCCCGAAGAAACGGCCCAGGGCGGAACGCACCCCTTTCCCGCCGGCTTTCCGGGACCTCGGGGGAGAGTTTGGGCAGAGAATGGACACCCTAGATGGGCAGCACCCCCGCTCAACCCCCTCCTGGCCCTTCCGGTCTGGTGACCCAACCATTTGTGATATGGGGTAGTGGGGCAACCTGCCAACGGTCTGATGGTATCGCCTCGGGGCTACCCCAATCCCCACCCTGTGTATTCATCTCTCTTCTTTACCCTCTCATGGAGGTGGGGGGGAAGGAAAGGCTCAGCCCACCTTCTTTTGCTCCGGGCTTGAAAAGCTAGTGTTTGTTCAGAGTGGGGCCACTCTTACCCCCCTCTCTCTCCCTGGCCTAGCTGGCCCTAGGACCTTAGTCACTGGAGTGAGGGGGCAGTTCTGGAGAGAGTCTACCTGAGAGTGCATAGAAAGTAATCCACGTGAAGAGCCATTTACAGGAAGGCGTGACACCTGATTCCCCCCCTCCCCGAGTGTCTTGAACAATTTCCCAGCCTTCACTGTGGGGCACAGATGGGCAGACTGCCTTCCTTACAGTCAGGGCTCCCTGGAGGTGTTCACAATCTTGCTTTCTGGGACAGTGGTGCCCGCCTTTAATCCCAGCACTGAGGTCGCAGAGGCAGGTGGATCTCGGTGATTTCGAGGCCAACCTGGTTTACAGAGCGAATTCCAGGATGTAACAGCCAGAGCTGTTACACAGAGAAACCCTGTTTTTTTTTTTTTTAAAAAAAAAAAAAAAAAAAACCCAAAACAAACAAACAAATCTGTTTTCTGGGTGGGGATCAGGTGCGAGGGCGAGGATCTGACCAAACCCACTTTTTCCCCTCAGGCCTGTGCCGTCGGATTGATCGCCATTGGTGTAGCAGCTCAGGTTTTCTTGAATCAGACCATCAGCCAGGAGACCACGCCAGCCTCCCTGTTGCCTGTGGTCATCATTGCAGTGGGCGTCTTCCTCTTCCTGGTGGCCTTTGTGGGCTGCTGTGGGGCCTGCAAGGAGAACTCCTGTCTTATGATCACAGTGGGTGGCGGGGGGGGGGGGAGACCGGGGGACAGGACGGCGTGACTCCTGTGGTGAGGTGGGCGGATGAAGAGCACCAGGAATTGTGACTGGGTCGGAACAAGCCTCTTAGATCCAGACGTCAAACCCGACGCCTGTCCTGTGCTTCTGCAGTTCGCCATCTTCCTGTCTCTCATTGTGCTTGTGGAGGTGGCTGTGGCCATCGCTGGCTATGTGTTCAGAGACAAGGTAAGCGGGGAACAGGGGAGCCCTGGCTCGGGTCACCCTGGGACTCTAGGGCCTGAATTCTCTCTCCAACACGCTGTCCTACTCGTAGGTGGAGTCAGAATTCAGTAAGAGCTTCCAGAAGCAGATGCAGAATTACCTGAGCAACAACAAAACGGCCTTGGTTCTGGACCGGTGGCAGGAGCAAGTGAGTGGGAAGGCTGGGGAGAGGGACGGCGGGGATGGAAGGGTCTCATCTCTGGATTGATTGGGCAGCTTTCCTCCCTCCCCTCCTCATTCTCCTAGTTTAACTGCTGTGGGGCTAACAACTACACAGACTGGGAGACTGTCCCTGGGATGGCCAAGGACCGAGTCCCTGATTCTTGCTGCGTCAACGTCACTGTGGGCTGTGGGACTGACTTCAAGTTATCCACGATCCATACTCAGGTAGGAAGAAGACATTAGACCAGGGAAACTTGGGAAATGTTTCAGGAGGCAGGAGAGATGCTAAGGGAATCAGGGCTGGCTGGGGCCCTCTCCAGGGAGGAGAGGGCTGGGAGATGGAAGAGGAGGTCGGGAGGAAGTCTTTCTGTTGGGATTCATGCTCGCTTCTTCCCTCAGGGTTGTGTCCAGAGCATGGGGGCCAAGCTGAGGAAGAATATATTGGTGGTGGCTGCAGCAGCCCTGGGCATTGCTTTTGTGGAGGTGAGGAACGCTGTGGTTTGGGGTCTTGAGTCAGTGCAGGGCTTCTGGGCAGAGTGGCCCTTGGATGGGTTTGGGGAAGCTGGCCCTGTCTCCTCCCCACCCTCATCTTCGTCTTTCCTTTTAGGTCCTGGGGATCATCTTCTCCTGCTGTCTGGTGAAAAGTATCCGAAGTGGCTATGAAGTAATGTAGGGGGGTGGTCTGGTCTCTTCTGTCTTTTCATCTAAGGGAGTGAATCCTCCAGGTTTTTCAATTAAACGGATTATTTTTTCAGACCTGAAAAGGAGATGGTCTCAGTTTATCTTAGGATGAAGGATGGCCCCTTCCTTTTCCTTTTCCCAGTCCCCGCCCTGGGAATAGGCAGGCATATTTAGGGGGTTTTTGGGAAAGGAGTCTTTTGTTAGTGTTGGCTGCTTTGGTCGTGAGAGAAGTGGGGACCAGAGGAGGAGGTGTCTGTGTCCCCTCAGCCCTGTTTTGTGTTGTTTGCTGGGTCTTCAGTGTTCCTAGATCCATATCCTGCATAAGACCAAGGGATTTTTCCACAAAGGGCCTACATGGTAAAGCCTGACCCATGTCCAATTTGGACAACTTTTGGCCTTCTGATGCTTTGAGGGCCAGCAGACTCCCCCCTCTCAGTCCTCGAGGAGACCTGGCTCCTTTTTCGAATGGTTAAGTTGCTTGAGACCTATTGCGGCCAGTGTCCCTGATTCTTGCATTAGATAATAGGGTGATTTAAGTATTTCCTTCTTCCATGGAAGCCAGCTCTGAGCATTTTCATTACCTGCCCTTCTGTCCCTGCAAACATTAGATAATGCCCTGCCAGGTGCAAATGAATGCTCACTACTCCACGCAGAAAAATCGGACAAAAGTGCCCTCTTGTGGCCATCTCTCCAAGTGCAGCTCCAAAAAGCATCTCTAAGTGGAAGGTAGTTAGTTCCTTACGCCCCCCAGTGGACAACAGAAGTTTTGCAGGCAGTAAAGAGGCCATAGAGTTCCAGCTCTAGGCAGCTTAGGGATTTTAGATACTAAATCTTATTAGGCTCCCACGAGTACCTTCACTTCTGTCCACCTACTTTTTCTTTTAAAACAATACATATTTATTGAGAGCCAACTTTGTGCCAGGAACCATGCAGCACCAGAGTGGAGACAGAAATACATGTTTTGCCCTTCACAATCAGCCTTTTGCTGCAAAGTTGGGATCAGGAGATTGACTGGGCAGGCCGGGGAAGGACCCAGGTGAGCACAGCGTCCACCAGGCTGGCTGGAAGGTAGGAGGCAGGCAGCCAGAGCAGCTTGGCATCCCATCCTGGGCTGTAGCGGGTTCGGGGGTGACGAGCAGTCAGGGCATGCTCCAGGCAGCTGGTCACCTTCGCTAGGTCTGGGTCACAGATCAGGTTCATGATGCGGCGCTGCACTTGGAGATCTGTATCTTGGAAGATGCCATAGTTAGAGTGTGCGTGCTCCCTCCCTCCCCGCCATCCCCCTTGGGCTGTCTTATAGATCACCTGGGCTGGCTGCCCAGTTGGGGAAGCGACACCACCTCCCTCTGCCTGTCCTTTTCCTCCCTACCAGGCCTGACTTTTCTGGCCCTCTTTTTCCCATCATGTGCTCAATATGGGCCCAGCTACTCACAAGAAGTGAGGAAGGTTTCCCCGTAGTGGGCCCGTGTAGCCGGTGGTAGCTGGGCCCAGCAAGCCTTCAGCGTGTTTTCCAGACTCTCCAGGTTGGTCACAGGGGTTCGGAAGAAGCCAGGCTCCACAATGGAGACTTGTACTCCAAATGGAGCCACGTCCCGCCTGGAGGGTGGGCAGAGGGGTTTCTGGGTTTTATACCTAGGTTCCCTCGAGTGAGGGATCTGAGATGGGAAGGTGTGACAGTGTAGGGACGCGCATCCTGACGGGGAAGGCTATTGCTGGTTGGCCTGGGATGAGGAGCTTGGGGGGCTTCTTGTTTTTCTCCCTGACACTGAGGATGAACCTAGGGCCTGTGGATGGTGGACAAGAAACTGCGCCACACCATCCCAGCCCAGGGATAGGTACCTTTCACTTTGTTTCCCTTGTATTCTCTTTTTAAAAAGCCTGTTGATTATTTATGTGCGGTGCATGAGTTCATGAGTATGCCGGCGCCTTCACTGGTCACAGGTGTCAGGCCCCTTGCAGCTGGAGTTACAGGCCATCGTGAGCCACCTTGTGGGTGCTGGGGGAATTACAGGCTGTTGGGAACCACCCACCATGTGGATGCTGGGGACCAGCCTGGGTCCTCTGCAAGAGCAGATTTTAATCACTCTTGTCCTCCGGGTCATCTCTGACCCGTTGTTTCTGTGTTTTGAGACAGAGTCTCACGTAGCCCAGACTAGCATTGAACTGGTAACTTCTGTCTCTGCCTTCCATGTATTGGGATTCCAGGTGTGAGCCGTTATGTTAGTCTGGATACTTCTCTCTTATTTTTTAAAATTTATTTTATGAGACGAGGTCTCACTGTGTAGTCTAGGCTAATCTTTTTGTGTATGTGTATTCCACTGTCCGTGTCTGGATGTCAGAGGACAGCTTGGTTTTCTTCTACCATGGTTGTCCACTCCACTCAGGATGTCAGGCTTGTAAGGAAGCGCTCAGCCATTTTGCTGACTTGAAAGAAAAGAAAAATTTTGAGAACGGTTTTCATGTGGCTTGAGTTTGCTCTGTAGTGGAAGTTGGCCTTATTACAGGGATCACTGTGTGTGTGGGGGATTGTTTTGTAGCCCAGGCTGGCCTCAGTCCCCTGCCTCAGCTTCCCTAGTCTTGGAATTATGGGTGGGTCTCAGTAAGCACATCTCTGTTGTGCAGTTTCTTCTGTTTACTAGATTAATGGTTGGCAAGCTGTATTTCCTTTTCTTTGGTGGTGGCAGGTGCTTGGGATCAAGCCTGAAGCCTCATGCTGCTAACGTAGTCCACATTAACTCTGAATTCAGGATCCTTCTGTTCTGTCTTTCATAAAGAATCATGTAAATGTGTGCGTGTGTGCACATGTATGAGTGTATGTGTGTGCACCTGTGTGAGTGTATGTGCACATACGCATGAAGGGCAGGAGAGGGCATCATGTTACATGGGTATGGGTCCTCATGATCACACAGTGATCTTAACTGGTGAGCCTCTCCCCACCCCATCCCTTACTTTTTCTTGATAGTAAATTTTGATGTACTACAGGCCAGACAAAATTAGTGTTTTTATTTATTTTGCTACAGGGTTTTACCATGTAGTCCTGGCTGAACCGGAACTCATTATGTAGACCAGGTTGGTCTCAAACTCGGATACTCTTTCCTCTCTGCCCTGCGTGCTGGGATTAAAAGGTGTATGCCACAATATCTAGCAAAATTAATGTATTTATATAACCATTTACAATGTAACTGTTTAAATATATAAAACCATTATTAGCCTGAAGGCAGCTGAGCCCATGTGGTTGATAACTGCAGGCCGCCAGTTCTTGATCTAGAGCCTTATAAGATTGAGTCCCGAGTACTGGGTGTGAGGACTCTAGACTGGCATTAGCTGGCAGGTGACTTGATAGTTCAGGTAGGGGTGCATCCTGCTGCCCTGTTCTGGCCTGGGCTGAGACCCAAGTGTATCTGTGTTCCGTAATGCTGACTGGAAGAACAGGCAAGGGGACAGAGGCAATGAAATCATCTGTCGGGAACGGTGACAAAGGTAGCCTTCCTGACTCGCTGGGCTTCTGTCTCGAATTCAGACTCTCCTGCTGCCATGGTTGTCTTAGCTCCTTTACAGTCCCACCGACTTTGAACATTGTTGTTCAGATGTTCTGGGAGGCCCGAGGCTGTGTCTGTGAGCCCAGCACTTGCAGAGTGAGTCTGAGGCCAGTCTAGGTTACAAAGTGATAGATACCCTATCTCAAGAATAAAAGGAAAAAAGACAGGAGAACTGAACCCAGGTTCGATTCCCAGCGCCCACATGGCAGCTCACCACTGTCTGTAACTCCAGTTCCAGAGGATCTGACACCTTCATATAAGACATACATGCAGGCCAAACACCAATACATATTAAAGAAAAAAAAAGACCTCGTGGTCTATAGCAGACCCTGTCTCAGAACTGAAGGGCAGATCTGGCCTAGGGGGTGTGTCTCAACACTCCTACTACGTAGCCCACAGCAATAGCTGTTCATATAGGATGGGTGAGAGAATGGAAAGAAAATCCTAGTTTTTCTGTTAATTGTGATATGAGGAGCCAGGTGATGGTGGGGCCTTTAATCCTAGCACCCGGGAGGCAGAGGCAGGAGGATTTCTGTGAGTTTGAGGCAGCCTGGTCTGCAGAGCAAGTTCCAGGACAGGCTCCAGAGCTACACAGAGAAACCCTGTCTCGAAAAAACAAAAACCAAACAACAAAAATAGTGATGTGAAGGCTGGTGAGATGACTCATCAAGGAGGAAGGTGGCCTGCCTCGCCACCTCAGAGAGAACAGACTCCAATGGGTTTACTTTGACATGCACGCCATGGCACCCATACAACCATGTGTGCATGCATACACACAATAAATATGTGTGTCTGTTTTCTGTGTGTGCATATATGTGTGTGTGTGTGTGTGTGTGTGTTATGTAAGTAAATGCCATTTAAAAATGAATGACAAAATGTTTTCCCCAACATCTAAGGCACTGATGGGTTCTTGTATGTACCCCGCTTTGCTCTGAACCCCCATGAGGCAAGTCTCACTTTGACTTAACAAATTTGGAATAAAAAAAAAACCCAAACATAAATAACCTTGTTAGGTGTGTGGTGGCTCACATCTGTAATGCCAGTGCTCAAGAGGCTGAGTAGCATTGCTAAGAATCTGGGGTCAGCCTGGCCTACAGAGTGCAACCCTGACTCAAAAATAAGTAGGTTGGGCGGTGGTGGCGCACGCCTTTAATTCCAGCACGTGGGAGGCGGAGGCAGACAGATCTTGTGAGTTCGAGGCCAGCCTGATCTACAAAGCGAGTTCCAGGACAACCAGGGCTATACAGAGAAACCCTGTCTCGAAAAACAGGAAAGAAAGAATAGAGAAAGTCCCTGCTTGGTGTGGTGGTGCTCACACACCTTTAAGCTTAGCACTCGGAGGCAGAGGGGCAGAGTCAGGCTGATTTCTGTGAGTCCCAGCTCAGTCAGTGGCACAGTGAGACTTGTCTCAAATAACACACACAAGTGTAAGCTATTTAAGGACATAGCTTGTAGGTGATAAAGCCTGGGGTTTCAGCTCTCTATAACCCTGTCTCCTCTTCCAATTCTCCTGGCCTGTGCCAGCATCCAGTGTACCTGCCGGAGTAAGATCCCTGTCCCTCTCCAGGCTGGGCTGCAGCTGTGCACCCTCACCTCAGGCTGTCAGAGAAGGCCTCCAGGCCAAACTTGGAAACACAGTAGCCCCCGCCATTGGCTGCTAGGCGACCTAGGACACTGGTGATGTTGACCACCCGGCCCCGGGCCTGCTGTAGCAGAGGCAGCAGGGCAAGGGTGACCCCAATGGGACCCAGTGTGTTCACGTTCAGCACACGCTGGAAATCATCCCGTGTCAGCCATGGTGTAGGCCCGATGACACCAGCCACGCCAGCGTTATTCACCAGACCAAAAAGCCCTGTGGGGAAATGACAGACACAGGCTGGGGTTCTGGGAAGGTGAGACATTCTCATGTTTCCTTCCTAGGAGGATTTGAACCCCATTCCTCTCCACAGCCCCAGTGACTTCTGGGATGACTGGACAGACCGGGTTCCCAGGGGCTCCGCTACTCACCAGTTTCTCCAACGTGTGCCTTTACCCACTTGGCAACTTGCTGGACATTCTGGGGATCGGTGACATCCAGCAGGGTTGTGTGGAGGCGGGAGGAGGCCATCCGCTGTAGGTCTTCGGCCCCAGAGGGGGTCAGGCAGCTGGCCAGGACTTGGAAGCCTTTCTGGTCAAGTTGCAGTGCCAGAAGGCGCCCAAAGCCTGAGTCACAGCCAGTGATGAAGATGAAAGCATTGCCGGCAGGCAGTCTCTGCCGGTCTCTGAGCAACCACAGCACTGCCCACAGCATGGCACCCAGAAGCAGAGGCAGCCACATGGTTAGATGCGATGCCCTGCAGATGGCAGCCTAGACTGGGCAGGAAAGCTTGTCATTCATTCCCTCTGCCCCTCCAGCCCTGGCCCCTACCATCTACTATGCTGGGAATGTCTGGTCTGAGTAGACAAACCAAGAAACCATCTGCTTGGCAGACGATTGGCAGGTTGTGGCTTATTGTGCCAAACAGATGTGGGCACACACTAACTAACAAACTAGGATTTGTAGCTAATGGAATAAACCTGAGCTGGCTCTGGACAGACGTGTTGTGTGGGAGCAGAGGGACCCCGAGCACCACTGTACCTTCTAATCCAGGAACACCGAGCCCTCTGGATGCATCCTTGCCTGACTTCTGGAGTCGAGAGCCCTGCATGTCAGTCCTGGACACCTTCACTGTCTTGGAACCTGTTTTCTCATTTAGCAAACTGAGCTACGTTACCCACCAGGCCCATGTCAGCATCGTGGGAGATCAAAGGGCTGCTGTGTGAGGTCAGTGCGTGAAGCTGGAGCGTGAACGATCGACACATGCCGTCCCTAGAGCACCCGTTCCCGTTCCCACCGCTCCACTCACCTCTGGGCAAAGCTGGCAGGCACACAACGTGTGGAGCTTTTTCGTCTGCTTAAGAGATTTTGCTTCCAGCCTTCCCAGGCTCCCACACTCCTACAGCTAAGGCCAAAGTCCGGAGGGGTGGACTCTTGCTGTGGAGCAGGGGTGTTAAGTGTTTCTGTGTTTTGGAGGCGGTGAGGGCAGCGATAAGGAGGAGGAGCTAAGAGGCTGAAGCCTGCCTGGCTGAAGCTAGGTTTTGGCAGAGGGCAACTCTGCCCAGGCCCCTCTTAGGCTGTCTTTCCCAGCCTGGCCTCTTGACTGGCTATGCTACTGTCTCTTAGGAGGTAGGAACTACCAAGGATGGCAGCTGCCCCTCTCTGTGGGTGGCCCTAGACCTGTTATTTTTTTTTCTTTCTTAGCCCGAAAGTGCCCCCAGGAATTAATCTCCCACCTGGCCCAGACTCATGACACTGCTTAGCCGCAGCTTGGAAGAGCGTGTGGTGAGCACGTGGTGGGGCAGAGAGCCAGAGCTGAGGACTAGGTCTGCTCCCTGCCTTAATTCCCTGCAGGAAACTCAAGTCTGGAAGTAGAAAGTTTCGAACAGAGTCCTCCTCTGGGCAGGGATGAGGAAACTTCCGGCTCAGCCAAAAGGCACCTGCTCCAGGCTCAAGGAAGAGTAGGTGCAGTAAGAGGAATGTTGTCACCCTCCGCAAACGGCACTGGTCCATAGGGAAAGGACCCGGAAACCCCCGCTACCATACAGGAGCTAGCGACTCTGTCAAACACACCACACGGAATGGAACCTTGTGTTTTATTTATGGCCTACCAGTCTCCCATGCGGGAGGGTAAGAAGAGGGTTTGGGGAGAGGAGAGAGGCTAGGATGGCGCAGACTGCAGCTGCCCTTTGTAGACATACTCCAGCGCGGTGGCGATGGTGCGCATGTCCAGCTCGATGCTCCGAGCCCAGTTTTCCACATCCCCGATTTCCTGGGAAGGGGAGAGGAGATTGGAGGCTAGGAATCAGGGTGGATAGAGATTATGCCTCCTAGGCTGAGATTGCTCACTCAGATACACCCACCAACTGCTTTTCTGTCTGTCTGCCTTTCTTTGAGACGGATTACTGCAACATTACTCAGGTTGGCTTCCGCTCAGGGCTCAAGCTATCCTCCTGCCTCAGGCTCCAGAGTACCTGGTACAACTGGACTATGTACCATACTGAGGGTTTTCTGTAGAGCCCAGGGCCCTAAACATGTCACTGAGCCACACCCCCAAGTCCTGCCTTCTTTCTTTCTGACTTTTCTGACACCAGAAGGAATATCTGGGACCCCCACATCCTCATTAACCCTAGGCCTGAGCCAGTTATGCGACTGCAGCTAGCCAATGGGGGCTCAAACAAAGGCAAGGATGTGCTGAGTGTGCCCACCTTAAGTGCCTGGTTGAAGTTCTCCACCATTCCAATCCACTGGCCTGTCTGCTTGGCGAACTGGGCAGCCTGGACCTGTAGGGTCTTCACTTCATGGTCCAGCTTTCTCTGGTTCATGTAAGCCTGGGCCACACTAAGGATTGGAGGAGGATGTCAGCTCATCCAGTTCAGAGGGGGTGGTCTTCAGGGCCTGTGACCGTGCTGGGAGGATCAGCCAGGAGATAGGGCTGGGGAAGCCTTGGGATTCTGGCCTTTTCTGGTTATGACCCAAATGAAGCAGGATCCTTCCAACTCTAGGGGTCCCAAGAAAGCCAACCTGGGAGCTAGTAGAGACATACTGTTCCTTATCCTCTCAAGAAGTTTCTGTGGCTGAGCTGGGGCAGGGAGGGTTAACCTGGGGGATATTCCCGAGGAAGAAGCTGAAAGGGAAAAGGGAGCGTGGGAAAATTTAGCAGCAGGGACACATCTGGCAGTGATTTGAAGGCCTGGGTTCTCAGCAAGAAGCTGGGAAAGAAATCAGGCCCCTCCCTGAATCTGGGGTGAGATGGGAGAGTAAGCCCTCTCCTTAGGAACCCTGGGTGAAATAAGCCTATCCCAAGAGATTTTCTTGACCTTCTCACACCCACTCCCTTTGAGACGGGGTCTTATGTGGTCCAGGAGGACCTCAAATTTGCTATGGGGATGAAGTCGGCCTCGACCTCCTGCCTCTACTGTCCAAGTGCTGGCATTACAGGTGTATGGGCATTGGCCGTCACACCTAACTCTCCCACCCACACTCCTTTTGCCCACAAAGACGAGTGAACACACACACGACATACTCCTGTCCTTATGCTCAGGGCAACGCTTCTTTTCTGGTCAATCAAGGTTCTGGCTGTGGTTGCCATGACTACCATGGGATTTTTTGGTGCTCCATCTTGCACTGACGTTTTTTGCTTCTTCTTTTATGTAACTGCCGTTCCCTCTCTTACTAGCAGATGACCTTTTCATTCCCGATCCCAGTGCTCTAGGTCAGTAAGGAGACTCCACATCCGGTGCCGCCACCCACTGGAATGTGTGTGTGGGGGTCCGGGAAAGCGGGCAGGGCACCTGACAAGGGCTGAGACAGACCAAGCCTTTGTTTCGTTTTCTGGAGAATAGGCGTTGTGGGTAGCAACACAAAACCCTCTCTAATCTGGATTTGGCTTAGCTGCCCTCAAAGCTTGAATTTGGGGTGGCATCTAGCAAGTAATAGAAAAGAGAGAAATCCGGCCAGCCTCACAAATGGTAGCAAAGGAGGTGCCAATGAGGGAGCATTGAGAGAGGACAGCTGTCTGGGGACAAAGGAGACCAGAGGCCCCAACCACAGCCATTTTCCACCTAATCTCTCAGATGAGTAATGGAGATGACCCCAAGCACTGCACGTCTCCCTTGGATGACTCAGTCTCTGGACTTACAACTGAGCTGTTCTGCTTGCTCCGAGTGGAAGGCATAGTGTGAGCCTCCTTTCTTCCCGTAGACAGAGTATCAGGGCACATCTCTGCGCTCCTGAGTCACACATCTCCAGGAAGTATTTTCAAGTCTTTGCCTATCATTGGCCTTCTCACTTGGGGATGAGGCTGTGGGTAGAGTCCCTGGAGACCCAGAAGGAAGGGAAGAGACAGCCTGGTTTTGTCATAGCTCTCGGCATAGGCTCTTCCTCAAGTCTACCAGCTGTGCCCTCTTGTTCCTGCCAGTTGTTTCCCAGGCTCGCCAGAGAGTAGGAGGGAAGGAAGGAGAGCCGGGATGTGGTGAGACAGGCTGTCCTTCCCTCCCACCCAAGTGACAGCTGGATTTAAAAGGGTGAATCGAGTTGGCCAGGTGGCATCAAGTCGTGCCAGGGAGGTTGGTATGGCGAGGGGGAATTCTGGCAACTTTCCTGACCACTGCAGCTGCTTAGGGGTCAAAGCTGACTCAAGTCTCCGTGGAGTTACATTAGGGGGAGGGAGGTCAGGGGTGTAACTGGGGCACCCGGATCCTTTAGGAGGATGGCCCAGACTTTGTCTAACCAGGGTGGATGGAGGAAACGACTGAGGGACGAGATTCATACCCCACATTGAGGTGATCCACCAAAGCTTCGGTCAGGCAGGTCGCCGCCGTGATGGCCTCTCGCCTCCTCTTCTCTGGGGAAGGGGAAAGGGATTGGAGCAGATTTCGTATTTAAGAGGTGGTGCTAAGGGGTTCCCCCACGCACTTCTTACTATTCTGGAGTAAACTTACTATTCTTTCTGGTCAGCTAACGTCAGACCTTTAAAAAAGAACCTCACAAACATAAAACCAAACCCCTTTATTTTGGAGGTGAGGAAAGTGGCACCCTGCGAGGGGAAGGGACTCCCTCAAGCACGCCCAGGCCTCTTCCCAGACACCCTTTCTCCTTTACTTTGGGCAATGGATTGGCAACTCCAGGATTCCCAGTCTGCACAGCCTTAGCTGTGGTGGCAGACCCGCTGGAACCCGGCCACTGGGCGGTCCCAACTCCCTCCCACTTCCGGGATAAGAGGCTGCCTGGGCCAATGGGCACCGCGTGTCAAGAGCCAGGGGGCGGGGCTCAGACGTCGCCTCGGTGGGACCGGGGAGTTGCAGAAGGGATCCGAGCGGGTTGGCGAGGGATCGGAGTTTGCACAGGCGCCCCAATTCCCTGCTCTGCACTCGGGTCGCCCGCTAGCCGGCGCCCTTCCCTTGATCTGGGAGGTCGCCCGGGCCCCACGCTTCCGGCAGAAGCCAGGCCGCGGCCAGGAGGGCCGAAGGGACTGTGCTCACCCTGCAGCTCCTTGCGTTCATTCTGCTTGGCTTGATGTTCTTTGAGCAGGCGGGACAGCATGGTCGAATCCGGCTGGGTGTGGGCACAACGGGCCCCTCCCTCGGGCTGCGGGAGCTGGGTCGCGCCGCGGCTCGCCAGGGCGGGGGGGGGGGGGGGGGGGTCACGTGGCCGTGGCGTCACGTGACGCCGGTGCCGCCCTCCGCGCTTGGCGTTGGGCAATTGGCAGTGCGTCTCTAAAGGAGGAAAGTGGAGGGTTGGCTGGTGGGTGAGCTGATCTTTAATGGGCTCATTTTTTCAGAGTTGGAAGCGCTTTCCCGTTTGGTCAGTCTGAAGCGTCAGTTTTCACATGCCCTGGCCGTCAGGCCCCGAGAGGATTGGAGGCCTCATGCTGCTGTCTGTCCCAGTTCTGTTATTGGGGTAACGGAAGCTCTCCAAACTCATTGAGATTCTTTTCCTTCCCTCACCTTCCTTCCTGGCAGCGCTGGCCGGTTCTCAGTGCGTTCCCAGGTCCTCTCCCTAGAAGAGAACGCGTTCTCTTCCTCCCCAGCCCTCTCGTCATCTCGCCCCTCCACCAAGGTTCCCTCAGCTCTGGCGATCACGGTAGTGAAGCATTTTAAGGCACCTCAAGCGGCCTTCTATGGAGCTTTGCTAAGGCTGCGGGCTGTGAGTGGTGAGCGTGCAAGCCCATCCCTGTCCTTTTGTGGTCAGGGAATGCGAACCCAATTTAGCCATGGCAGAAATCTAAGTGCTGCAGCCAAAGTGAAAGGTAAATTATACAATGCCTCTCTGACGAAGGAGGAATGCTTCCAGGATTAATTCCAGCAAGAAAAAAATATAAACATCATCAATTTATTACTGTTGTTACAATCTGTCTCTGTCCCTTGCTCTGCCTCTCTGCTTGCCTGCCTACCTGTCTGTCCTGTCTGTGTTGGCTCCCTGTGCTTTTTAGAATGGCCTGGAATTCAGGAA